TGCAGATAATGTGTTGCAGACTTTAAGTCAGCAGACATGAAGAGCATTCCTTAAAGAAAAACACACCACCTGGCACATTTCTTTGCAAGGTTTTATGCAAAGCGCCTGCTGCGTGATCTGTTAGCGCTCAGCGTGTGTTGAGATGATGCTCAGCTACTAAAGCAATAAATTGTAGCTCAGTACGTGTAAAATTGACTGACTTTATATAACTTTATATGCCATGTAATCTAGCTGTTGTTGCTACTTTTTTGCCATCTTATTTTAATTTGTAGAAAAAAAATCTGTACACCTCTTATAATTGTCTACTGTTGTCGCTGTTTTCATCATTCTTTGTTGAAATCAGGTCTCTCCTGTAAATGAGTCCTCGAGACTCAATGGGATTAACCTGTATAAATAAAGGTTGAATGAAAACTTTAAACCATTTTTGTGTCTGACAGGGTTGATTAGCTGTGGTGGCCATCTTAAACTGAAACTTTAAAATTAATGAGTTGCAGATGCATATCTAACAACCATTTTATGTTTCATTAACATGCATGCAGTGGTTCATGACATATTTGGCTAACAGACAAGCACAAACACACATAGGCAATGAGCCTTACTTTCATGATGGTGGGTGATAAAAAGCTTCTTACTTTGAATTGTTTTTGCATTAATGTCAAATATATATAAATGAGTTTCAAAATACTGTATTCTGTATTTCACACTTCATAAAAACTGTATGAAAATCGGTAAAATGTCTTATTTATAAATTATATGTTGGAAAAATACCAGTGAGCTATTAAAATGATGCTAAAGCTGCATCAACAGGAAGCCATGTTTCCTACGACACACAGCAGAAATAACCAGAGCGTCTTCAGTACCTTGAGTGTGACCCTCAGGAGTATCTGGCTCTCGGGCAGAGCTCCGTCCAAACCGAGCCAGCGATCCAGCACCAAGTCCGGCTCAGCCAACACCTCCCTCAGAGGGAGAGTCAAGGACCCGAGAGACTGACCCCAGCTGTGGGAGAGCTGGGCAAAAACAAACACATTGATTAAAAAATAAACACATTTTTCACATCTTTATTCTATTTTTGACAGAAGTGAACATTTTTGTTACAACCACAGCTTCAATAAATGTCTCCTCACCTTTACCGTGAGCATTTCATCTCTGGGGTCACGAACCAGGAAGTGAAAGGCCTCATCCCATCGAGGAGACGTGGATCGCTCACAAATCTTGGTGAAATTTTATTTTTAAAATTACATCTTGTTTTGGTTGTATCATTATGTCAAAGGTCGTAATCCTACCTTGGTTTTATAAGAAACACTCTTAAGAAGAATCTCAGCTCCGGCCTTGGGCTCCTTTCCGTTCTTCTTTAACTGAAAACACACAAAAAGTCAACAGAAATCTGAATACAAGAGCCAAACCAGTCCCAAAGTGATGGACTTTTAACAGACTCTAATGCAAATCCTCTGAGTGGCATGTCACCACTAAAAGCTTCAGTTTTGAAGAACAAATAGAAGCCCGTTTGCTCACCGGCAGGCCGTGAGCCCGCTCCACGTACGCAAACAGAACAGCCGCTGACGGGACGACTTTGTTTTGGTACGACTGCTGGGACTGATACTGCAGGACCTGCAGGCAACAGGAAACAGACGAGACTGTGAAACAGAAGATCTGTGGTTAAAGTTTGCTTCGCTACACCACAGGTAAACATGTGACACAAACTCACACAAAGCCTTCGATAAGAGAAGTTATCTGTGCATCTCACAGAAAACATGAGCTCTTTCCAGCCAAGACAAGCATCTGATTGACAAACTTCAGAAAGAAGAAGTCAGATATACAGTAGTGAAATTTATCTTTAACAGCTGGAGGACACGTTTAATTTTTTTTAATGTAATATTTGTTTTGACAAATAATCCTGTAGGCAGACTTTTACTATAGAGTGTCAAAAGCCAGTATGAGCTTTGGTTACTCACTAGATTAATATGTGTTTCCTCCTCAGTTCATTTCTTTTAGCTTCTTCTTTCTGCTTAGAAATAAATTTTTCAGTATTTTGTCCTCCTTGGATGTCATTAATCTGTCCTCCAGCTCTAATGTTAAAAATCTTGGTGTTATTTTCGATCAGGACATGTCTTTTATCCCCCACATTAAAAATGTAACTACAACTGCCTTCTTCCAAATGTGTAATATCACTAAAATTAGAAACATCTTATCTAGAAATGATACAAAGAAACTGCTTCATGCATTTGTCACATCTACTGGACTATTGCAATGGTTTGTTATCTGGGTGTTCAAATATTCTTTAAAAAATCTTCAGTTAACCCAAAATGCTACTGCCAGAGTCTTAACTGGAGTTAGTAGGAAAGATCATATCTCTCCAGTTTTAGCTTCTCTTCATTGGCTCCCTGTCAAATCCAGAATTGAATTAAAAATCTTACTTCTAGCCTACAAAGCTCTCAACAACCTAGCTCCATCTTATATTCAAGATCTTATTTTTACATATTTCCTTAAAAGAGCACTTCGCTCTCAGACTGCAGGCTTACTTGCGGTTCCTAGAGTTTCCAAAAACAGAATGGGAGCAAGCTGGGTGAAGCTGACATCCCCCCCATTCATTGTATTTGCTGGAATTTTTGACGTGGGGTGCGGTGTCAGCTTCACCCAGCTAGGCGCGCACAACTGCTGATGTGTCGAAACTCCTGCACATAGACATATACACACAGCTCGGAACTCCTGCACATAGACATATACACACAGCTTGGAACTCCTGCACATAGACATATACACACAGCTGAAGGTGGATGACATGCAGTCCGTGTCTCTGTTGGGCAGGAGCGTGTGTGCAAGCTGGTGCGTGTAGTGCAGCCAGAACATCCACTCCACAGATTGGACAACGTCTCCTCTCGTTGTATTTTTAATAAATAATCAAAATAAAAATGTGCGATGGGGCAGAGATTTGAGTTGTTGGATACATTTCAGACATAATAAACAAAAAAGCTTACAGTAAAAAAAATATATATATATATATTTATACTTTGTATATACACACATATATATATATATATACAACAAGAGAAATGTTTGATGGGTATTATTCAAATTACATCACGTTTCAAAACAACGGCACTAACTTGTCAAAATAACAGCGATCAAAATGTTGAAAAGAAGTCCAATTTATTTTCTAAAATAAATGGATGGATGGCTGTTTTGTCCTTAGCTGGACAACGGATCACCCATTATTTGTGTTCCGGCATCATTCGGTTTACAAATTAAGCCCTGGGGACAGTACATACATTTTTAAAACCTTAAAAAATATATACAAAAAGGTTTCATATCCAGGGGCAGCACGGTGGCGCAACTGGTAGAGCTGCTGCCTCTCAGCGAACAGGTCCCTGGTTCAAACCCCGGTCCAGGGTCCTTCTGGGTGGAGTTTGCATGTTCTCTCCGTGCATGCGTGGGTTTTCTCCAGGTGCTCCGGTTTCCTCCCACAGATCAAAAACATGCATGTTAGGCTGACTGGTAACTCTAAATTGTCCCTAGGTGTGAGTGAGAGAGTGAATGGTTGTTTGTCTCATTTGTCTCTATGTGGCCCTGTGATGGACTTGCGACCTGTCCAGGGTGTACCCCGCCCCTCGCACAGGGATTGCTGGACATGGGCACCAGCGACCCCCGTGACCCAAAATGGAATAAACGGGTAAAGATAATGGATGGATGGATGGTTTCATATCCAACCTGTTCCAGTCTGGGTAGATCAGAGACTCTGGGCAGCCACTCTAACACCAGGTGAACTCGACCAGACTTTACATCGTTTAAGGTGTACCACTAAAACAAGAAGAGCACAAGAATGGTAATTATGATCCATATGGATATTATTGATATTTGTAAATATAAGATATTTTCACACACCGTATCAATGAATTGTGCACTGATGATGTCTCTCAGGTTAAGCTTGAATCTACAAAGGCAAGACTTGATTAACATTTCTCCCAAAAGTTACAGTCATAAATAAAAGAAGTGTTCACTGAAGGAATGCATATCGCCCGCCACCTTGCAAGCCAAAGATCTGTTAGTGCTCTGAGTATGTGCTGGGGATGACTCTCAGCTACCACCGCACTGAAATGGAGCTCAATATTTGTAAAATTGCATGAATAATGGTTGTTTTTTTGTGTTTGAAAATATTGATTAGCAGTGGTGGCCATCTTGAGTTAGACTGACTCCAAAAGTTAATCAGTTGTAGATGTACAGCCAATGATTACTTTCAAAGAGTTCCATAAAAATTTGTCCCATGTCCAGGAGATTTTTTATCAACAGACATGAACACAATATATTCCTTTGCCTGTCTTTAAAGGTTATAGGTGACATATAAAAACATTCAGTTCTGTTGGTGTAGTGGAGACATGCCTGCCAAGGAAGTCGTCTTGATCAATGTCTTTGTCAAACAACTCAAACTGGATTTCTTGACCTGGAAGCTGGGTCAAAATCACCTATATGCAAGAAATAAAATCCCAAACATCATGTTTTCATAAAATTTAAAAAGGTAATTAAGCATTTGAATGTAAAAATAAACTAATAGTACCTCAAAAAGTTCATTCCAGACAGGGTTGAGGTTTTCTTTGATGGTGTGGCTGCGGAAAGTTATCCCAGCTACACGAACCTTCACATACGGGTCGCTCTTCCCTTTCACCATGCCCCCCATGAAGTTGTCTTTGGCGATCAGGTTCTGGGCCTCCACCAGATGGATCCGTAACACTCCCTGCATGCAAAGTTGAGGTCAGGAAATGTTACCCCAGTCAGATGTCTGCTGCTGCCTAGATGAAGTAAACTGTTCTCTAACTTCAGTTGCAAACTCTGGATCAGGTGTGGTGTGCTGGGGTCGGGTTGATTGAGGTGTGGTGAGTCCGCCGGGTCCCGCAGGATTCAGGTCTGATGTGGTTTCTCCTTGACTCATCCCAGACCCTGAGGATGATGGGCGAGGAGACGGAGTCGTAGGAGTGGTGTCATCACTTAGCCACAAAATCTATCAGGAAACCCAGAGACTCGTGTGAGCGAATAGGTAAAAAAACAACACATGATCTTTTACGTGTGCGCAAACAGAGGACACGAGTGAAACACTAACCCTAAGAACAATTTTGATGTAGATGCGACTGGCTGAACCCGAATTGTCCAAATGGAACCACTGGTCCAAGGTGAGATCAGGGGACTCCAGAAGACGGCTCAGAGGGATCGCCAGACTGCCCAAGGAAAAGGAGCGATCATCATCCTTCACCTGATCAACAGGAAAAACAGCGAGTAAAGAAAACATCAACACTGAGGTTCATTGTAGTGTAGTTGGTAAAACGTGAATTCAGCTGTAACCAGTGAGGATTTACCTGAATGTCAATATCTTGCTTGTGAGGGTCTTGAATGAAGAAGGTGAAGGCATCCTCCCACACTGGACCATTAGTCCCATAACAAGTCTGCAAAGGCAGTAGAGGAGCACTTGGTTAGCTCAGAGTTTGGTGCGAAGCATCAAGAAGAGGAGTGCACCGATTCCTCAGCAGGTGACCGTAATCAGCCGGTGATCAGCTGGTCCAACTAAACCATTGATAAGCACATCTGGCTCTCAATGTTTATTTTTATTTATTTTTATTTTTTATTTTTTTAGTCCATTAACGCGCTACAGCAAAGCAGCTGTTCTGCAGCAACACATCTTCACTGTGGAAGTATTTACAAAGTCAGAAGACGAGACAATTAGCTGTTTTTAATTTTAAACAATGTTTAAAAATAAAGAAAGTGTAAGAAACTACTGACATGAAATATGGATTTTCTATAACATTGTGTCTGCTGCTCACTTTACATTTAACAACATACAGGCTGAGGTTTACAGGGAGGTGTTACTTAGACATGATATTACACCAACCTACAGTGTGAGAGTGGTGTATACATGGTTTAATGGCTTAATAATCACTGTTATCAAGGTGTAAATACAACATGAAAATAGAAAAATTGCATTTCCTGTGAAAATTCAGTGTGAATGCTTATTGCTAAAGTACGTGCTGAAAAACTGCTGCAATTAGCTAAAACATGCTGAAATTTAGCTTAAATTTAGCTCAAATAAAGCTGAAATGGAAGAACAAGCCTAAGTTAACAGAAGAAAGTGGAAAGAACACATATTTGCTGAATTTGGTTTCAATAAGCAGAAATGAGCACACAAATTAGTAAATTAGTTAAAAAGCTGAAATTAACACCAAAAAAGCTGAGAAGTCGCTGAAAAGGCTGAAAGAAGCTTAAAATACCAGAAGAAAGTGGACAGAGCACAATTGTGCCCAGTTAGGCTTAAAGAAGCAGAAATGAGCACAAAAAGTGGAAATTATCTGAAAAAGGCAGAAAATTGCAAAAAAAAAAAAAAAAAAGAAAGAAAGGAGCTTAAATTATCAGAAGGAAGTTGAGAGAGCACAATTTTGCTGAATTCGGCTGAAAAAAGTTGAGAGTGCCAAAAAATGTGGATTTAGCTGAAAATGCTGAAATAAGCACACAAAAAACAACAAACAGCTAAAAAGTAGCTGAAATACCAGAAAAAGCTGAAAGGAGCATAACACGCAGAAATTAACAGAAAGAAGTTAGACGAAGCTCAAAAATTTTGTAGTTATCAGAAAGAATCAGAAAGGAGCACAAAACAACTGAAAGAACAGCTGAAATTAGCTGAAGTAGCTGAATTTTTTTTTTTTACATTTGCACAAGGAAGCTGAAAGAAGCTGAGCCAGAACAAAACGTGTAAGGAGCAGTAAAAGGTTGTAAACAGATCCAAAAATTTTAATGATGTAAAATGAGCTTAATTCATTTTCTATCAGGAAAAAAGTGGCAGAAAAGCTAAATTTTCCAAAAAGCTAAAGTTGCATCAATACTAAAATTCATAGCACCCTTCTGAACAAGCTGAACGTTTTGATATATGATATGTTGAAATAGCACAAAAATTGTAGAACGAGAAAGATGCCGAAAATCATACGGAAGAAACAGATCACAATAGTGTGAACGCTTCACAAGTACTTATATGGTTGTCTGGTAACTTAATGTTTTAAGATGGGGAGGGTAATAAAAATTAAGTAGCTAAACTGGTTTACACAGGAGATTTGCACTAGAACTGCTTTTCCCCTAGTGTTATCCAAGGGGGTGCACCCCACCCGCCTTAGATAATCTGCCTGGATAATCTGTCTGTATGTGTTCTCACGTGACCAGTTTAGTTTACTTGGACTGGGAGAAGACAATGAAGAAAGCAGTTCCCCCACCAGTTCTCCTACCTTGCTTTCTTTAGTTGTATCCTGAATGGAAATCTGCACCACTGGACTCGGGTCCTTGTTCCCTTTCCTCATCTGGAACATTTTAAACACATCAGCACGAGTAAGGGAGGGAAGTTCAATACACACCATGTGAATTAATCTGTGACGCTCGTACAGGCAGCTCATAGGCTTGGTCAAGGTAGATAGCGAGGATGGCAGCAGATGGCGGATCGGACGTCTTTGCCGTAAAGTTCTGGTTCTTCTGAATCACCTGGTAACAGAACAAATAGGAAACGTTTAGATTTCTATATAATCAGCATGCAAGAATCTTTAATATTAAGATTCATGTTTTTTTCCCTTATAAATTCAATTTAAACATATAGTGCCTGCTTATATTAAAAGTTAAAAGTTTACTAGAACTTAGTGAAAGATATTACAACAAAACAAACGGACAGCGTTAGCCTCACCTCGCTCAGTCTGTCAGCAGAGGACAGCAGAGAGAGCCACTCCAGGCGCAGGTGAACGCTGCCAGATGGGACGTCCCTCAGACTGAACCACTGTGTGCCACAAGAAAAAAGGGCACGACTTATTAAGCATGCACTCTTTTTTCCTCTTGGCTGGCTTGATGGGTTGCAGTGAAACAAAGATCAGAGCAGATCACAAGGATGCACATGGTGTCACCAGTATCACATGCTTACATGTTACACAAATTGTTTTCAGAGGGAAATAATGAAGCAATTGTTCTAAGAGAAAAACAAAAATATGTTAAAAAAAAAAAAAGATTTAAGCTCAAAACAGCCAAATCATCAGTACTTACATCATCAACAATTCTGGCCTTCCTCACAATATCAAGATCAACCTTAACCCTAAAGGCAGAGACACAAAGCAGCAGAGAATTAAAGATAAAAACACAACCAGTTTCATTTGCAACACAAGCGTGATCCAAATAGTCAAAACGCTGATGTGGAAATGAGGCGAGAAGAAAGAAGAAATGAGAATGAGTAAGCTACCTCCCCAGGAAGTCATCCTGGTCTGGGTCTTTGTCAAACACTTCCACCTCCAGCTCCTGACCAGGTACTTCATGGACAATCACCTGACACACACACGCACATATGAACACACACACACAACTAATATACACTAAATAAAGCCACAAATGGCATAAAAACACAAAGGCATGCAACAGAGTTACAACAGGAAGAATGTTTCTCTTGTGTGTAAAATTCATTGTTATCCTGTT